AAAGTAACAAAAAAAGGAGGGATAACGTACTGTCGCCGGCAATCCAGCCCCAAGCATAGAGGATGGAGAGAGCGATAAGCCTGAAGAACGGGGTGGCACTGGAGGTTGCAAGGAGAACCATGTAGATGAAGAACGAGCCCTTGAACAGATGCGCCAGCGCCCACTGCGGCTGATCGTACCTGTTTTCTCCCACGATCCAGACGGCAATCATCTCCCAGGCCACGCTCTTGATGCCCTCTAGTATCGTCGGGCTCGGGGCGGCGGCGGTGGTCATGGTCCAGTAGGCATCCGAGCTCCTCGCAAGCCCGTAGAGGCCGAGATTGCACAGGGAGAAGGAAACGAGCGTTGCCGCAGTGGCCGGGAGCATGAGACGGCCCGTTCGTCTGAATGCGCCAACCGACAGGGTAGAGAGGGCATCCTGATGGCAGCCGGAGCGGATCAGCTGGATCGTCTTGAGGGAGTTGACGAAGCCCAGGAGGACGAGGAAGACGGAGACGGCAGCATTGCCCTGGCCGATGAGGCGCAGGTACGGGTTCTGGAACAGCCTCCTGGGCCCGTCGGTCGATATGGAGGGCGGCATGACGCTGCGAGCAAAGCAAAGGGTGACATGGCTGGCAACGACGAAGAGAGCAGCAATCCCTCGGAGGCCCTATTGAGTTGACGATGATGTCGAGACGGGGTCAGCAAAATCTGCGGCCGGTGGAGTCGCAAGGTCTGTTAATCAATATCGCATCTCCGATCTGATTCTGATTCTGATATTGATATCTCTTTTTTTCTGGGGGGTGAGGGCGGTTGATATTGCACGTACATCAGCCCATCGGGTGTCGATAAACGGCTTTGCCAAAGGTCCTGCCTTGGAGGCCATCGCGAGAAGTGAATAGGAAAATGAAGGGGAAAAAACAAGGCCCAAGAAGAAACAAGGTCTATATCAATGCAGGTCTAGAGAGGAACAGCAGGGCCGTGGAGAGGGAAGAAGCGGTATTCTCCCCTGAGCGTTGAAAAGGGGGCATAAAAAAAAAAGGGAAGCGAGAGGCTGAACCCGCAAGAATGAACGATGCAGCTCGACCGGG